AGGTCCCTCCTGCGCTCCGAGCAGGAGGAGCATCACGGCTGTGAGCGGGGCAGAGGCTGCGCGGGCAGCGGGGACCCGGCTGCTGTTCAGCTCCTCACGCCGAGGGGCAGAGGAGGCGGCGCAGCCGTTCCCCATCAGGTGCCCCACGGCCTGGAGGAGGAGGGGGAGAAGGGGCGGCCGGTCGGTTCCGGGGAGACTGTTGGAATCTTGAGGGGAAAATGGAGAACTGGGGGGCCAGTGGGACCTGGGCGAGGGCTAAGGGGGTTTTGGAGGGACCAGGGCAGAGGGGGGGAAATGGGGTTTGGAGAGGCCACAGGGGTGATTTGGGGTCCCTGGGGGTCCCAGGGGTGTCTGACCCCCCCTCCCTGTGTCCCCCTTCAACAGCTTCTGCTTCCTCAGTTGTAGCCTGAGCGTGTCAGCCCTAACTCCAGTACCAGTGCTGGGAGGCATTGCAGGTGCTGCTGGGAGGAACTGGGAGAGGGATGGGGGTCACCAGAAGGGGTGCTGGGAGAGCACTGGGATGCAGCTGGGGGCTACTAGGAGGGACCTGGGGGGACTGAGAGGGAGACACTGGAAGGTGGTTGGGGGCCACTGGGAGGAGCTGGGGCAATGCTGGGAGAGACTGGGAGGTAACTGAGAGGGAGGTGCTGTAGGTGGGGTAACTGGGAGCACTGGGATGAACTGGGGGTCACTGGTAATTGAATGTGGTGGGGGACTACTGGAAGGTGTCTGGAGGTTAAAGAGAAGGACTGGGAAGTAGCTGGGAGGGGGCGTGGGGCAGGTGGTGGTAACTGGGAGGTAACCGGGGGTGACTGGGAGCACTGGGCAGGCTCTGTACAGACCCTAGTGGGCGCCCTAACAACCAGGGGGGTCATCCAGGCCGTGGGGATGGGGGATGGTGCTGCCACCGTCACCAGGGCCATCCTCACCTGGGTGCTGTGGGGTGAGACCCCCAAAGCCCCTTTTCACCCCAAAACCATCCAGGATCTCTGTTTCACCATCAAATTCCCCAATTTTAACACAAAATTTCCATGTTTGACCCCAAATCTCCCATTTCTGACTCCCAAATCTCCCTCTTTCGATCCCAGATTTTCCCAGTTTGACACCAAATCAGCCTCAGCACCCCCAAAATTACTATTTTTCATTCCCAAATTTATCCTGAATCTCTAAATCCCCCAGTTTTACCCCCAAATCTGCACCAGCACCCCAAAAAGCCCCCACTTTTGCCCCAAAATTTTCTTTGGACACCAGAATCCCTCAGTTTGACCCCAGAATGTTCTAGCAACTAACCAGTGCCCAGACAAAACCAGCCCAGCTCCCCAGTACAGTGGAGGATTTTGGTGCTGGGACATATGGCATCGTGCTAGCTTGGCACACGGGTGCATTTTCGTGCCCTGCGGTGCCTCGGGAGGGGCAGGATGGGCTAAAGCTTCCCTCCTCCTCCTCCTCCTCTCTCGGCTGGGTGCGGGTGTGCAGTCCTGGGGGCAGCGGCAGAGGCCAGGGGGGACCCTGCCCAGCACACTCAGGGGGGGTCCCGTGGGAAGGACGCTACGGAGTCCCAGCAGCTTGTGGCTCCAGCTTTATTTAAAAAGTCATTATTCCAGTACAGCCTTTTTCCAGAGCATTTTGTCGCTCGGAGGCTCAGCAGAGCCAGCAGCACAGCGACCGCAGGCTCCATCTTGATGTCAGACTCTGCTCTGTTGTCAGGCTGGAGATGGTCTTGGCTGCCACGGACCTGACGGAGAGTTCCGAGTCTTTTCTCAAGGGCAGGAGCGCTGCGAGAGAAGGGAGCAGAGCAGCCGTGAGGCCCCAGTGCCCGCAGGGACCCCCAGGACCCCCCCAGCCCATGCCCGCCCCATCCATCTCCTTCCCTGCCAGGAGGAGCCGGTGAGACACCCGGAGCGGCTGAAGCTGCTGCTCAGGAGTGACCTGTGTGCCCCCACACACAGAGGGGCTCAGGACTGGGCCAGGCCACGGAGTCTTTTTTTCATTTGCTGTTCGAGCTGGTCTAGAGTTGTGTGTGGCCTCAACGAGCCCGTGTATTGATCTGAGCATCCCAGTGTGGAGTCTGGACATCATCAGCCTCCTGGCAAGGGGCAGGACAGAGACGGCTGTTCTTTCCCCACAGATTCCCTTCCTTTTTGGTGAGGAAACAAAATTCCTCCAATTTCAAGACCTTACTAAAGAGTAACCTGCTAACCTATGTGTTAAGACACAAACAACTTTCTGAAACCGCTCATCTGCCCCTGGAGCATTTTCCTGCCCAGGCTGTCCCCTACTCACTGTTGCAGATCTGCCACACCCTCTCCTGGCTGAGGGTACTCCGGCGCCGCACAGCAAGCCCTGGGGCACAGAACTAATGTCAGAGCTCTGCTCCCCCTGGGCAGGGCTGTCCCCTGGCAAGGACAGCACCCGAGGGCTCTGGGACCCATCAAGGCCCCCAGCGAGCCCACCAGTGGGGACTGGGGCTGGGTGGCCAGAAATGGGTCCGGGCACTCACCGATGAACCTGACGGCCTCCTCCCGCACGGTGGCCTGAGGGTTCTCCACGTAGGGCAGGCTCTGGCGCAGATACTCGTCCACGCTGTTCCTCTTGTGCGTTATCTGAGGGAGCACAAGGGCACAGGGCTGGTACGGACCCTCCGCAGCTGTCTGGACCAGTCCCTCCCGCCAGCACCCCCACTCCCTCCCAGTGACTCCCATCCCCCAGCCAGGAGCCCCGTGGGGCTGAGGGCCAGAGAGAGCCGCAGGCAGAGGGGCCTGGGGGTGCTGAGACCCCTCCGTCCCGCTGCCAGGGCCCAGCTGGGTCGGGCTCTCCTGGAGAAGAGCCCCTGGGGGCTGCGTGCTGGAGGGCAGGGAAGGAGGGTGCAGCTGGAGCAGCGGGGCTGGAGCAGGGCGGCGATGCAGAGCGGCACAGCCCCCCCAGGCACAGCTGCAGCCCCCGTCCAGCCCGGCCCGGGGGTTTGGGGGTTCTCCTCACCAAGCAGTCTCCGATCAGGTGTGTCTGCCCTGTCTCGGCCGCGGAGCTGAGCCTCCTCCAGCCCAGGAAGTCTCCACAGGCGCTGAGGGTGTTCCAGGAAGCCTGCGGAGAAGCAGAGGCTGGGAGATGGCACCAGAGCCCAGGGAAGGAGAGCTGGCACCCTCCTGCTCTGGGCCTGGCTTTGAGCTGGGGGCACGGGGTGATCCCGGGATTGGATCCCCCTTCATTCCTGGGGCCATCCCGCGCTCTGGGAGCCGGCCCCGACTGAGCAGGGAACTGTCTGTGCCAGGTTCTCTGGCCCTGCTCGTGCTGGGGCTGCAGGGACCCTTCCTGTGGGCCGGGGGGACCCCACCTCCCCCTCCAGCTCTCAGCACGGGGACCAGTGCAGCGGGACCCCGCGGTGAGACGCGTTCCCATTGTCCCCCACGCCCAGGCCACCCCCGTGGTGTCAGCACGCCCCTCCCTGCGACACCAATCGCTGTCACTGCACCTTGGCCACGCTCTCGACCTGGTCGCTCGTATGGAAGTACAGTGGGATCAGGTTACTCTGCACTGTCTTCACCATTTTTTTCTTGTTTCTCCCCACTGCAGTCTTCATCATATCTCTGAAGAGGCTGATGGAGAGCTCCCGCACCCGGCTGCACTCCTGGCAGGGAGGAGGACAGAGGCAGCTCAGCACCAGCTGCTCCTCTCCCACGGGGAGCAGGGGCGTTAGCGTGGCGGGGGGAGAGGAGCTGCTCCGGGGTCGGATCCTGAACCAGGAGCCGTCGGCCAGACCTGCAGCTGCGGCTCAACGACCCCGGAGCACTGAAAGGCCGCGGAAGAGGAGCGGGGAAGGGAAGAGCCCTCAAAGGCTACGCAAGAGGAGTAAGGGGGGACCCCTGCCCAAATGCTTCCCGCATGGCCGCACTCAAGGGCAGCCATCTTGCAGCCATCGCCTCGGCTCAGGCTCCCATGGCAGCCTTACGTCATCGAAGAGGGGCAGGAGCTTCTCCACCAGCTTCAGGGAGATGAGGTCGGCCTCCTCCCTCTTCATGTGACCCATCACGTTGATGAACACCAGCAGAGCCTTGCTCTTGACATGGGCGTTGGTGTCCGTCAGGGTCTCCAGTATGTCTGGCAGCAGCACTGACATTTTTCTGGCCTGTACGAAACACACCGTTGCCTTTTTGTGAAGCGGTGAAAGACGCCCCCCACCGCCCCCGCCCCGGCTGCCGATGTGGCTCCCCTTGCCGACCCCCCACTCACCGTTCCAGGTGTTTTCGAGAGCGTGACGAGGCCCGTGAGCACCAGCGAGAGCATCACCGGGCTGGGACGCCTCAGGTACCTCTGGGTTTCATAGAGGGCAGCAAAATCCGCCTCATGAATGTCAGTGCAGAGCAGGAGCTAAAATGGAGACAGTGGTGAGAGACCAGCAGAGCTGCAGGGCTCCCTCCCCCCCACCAGCACGGTCCATGGCAAGGGTCTCCTCCCCCCTGCAGCCACCTCCGAGTCCCCACGTCTCTGACCCAGGAGCAGCAAGCGCCTTGACTCTGGATTCTGCCCCTTCCCGGGGTCTCCAGGCTGCAGAGCTGGGCAGGGGGATGCCGGCAGGGGGGAGGGCAGAGCGCTGCCTGTGCCGGGACAGGCTTGGTGGGGCCAAACCAGCATGGGGTGGGCCTGAGCGTGTGGCACAGGGGTCTGGCTGGTGCTGAGCAGGGGAAGGAGGAGGAGGAGGAGGAAGGCAGAGCGCTGGGGCTGGGTGTGGGTCACTCACAATCATGGGGTAGATGCAGGCGTCCTCCATGGCAGAGCTGAACACCCTGCGCAGCCGCCGGTCCTGCAGCACGTCGACCAGCTGCAACAAGACGCTCCACAAAGCCCAGCGCACGGAGATCAGCACCTCCCACATGGCCACGGCCGCCCTGCGGAGCCAGAGCCAACTCGCTCAGCAGAGCTGCCTCGGCTCCTCCGGACCCCGGCCCTGCCCACCCCCTCATTTCGGGGTGCCCGCGGAGGCAGAGTGGGGTGAGGTTCTGTTCCCATGGGGCAGGGGCTCTGCTTTGGCCGGCTCTGGCTGAAGGGGGAAGCGTGGTGGGATGGAGAGCCCTGCTCCTCGGGGATAGATATCCTGCGGTTTGCCGTGGGTCTGGCAGCCAGAGAGTCTCTGGGCCACTCTCCCCCTGGGGAACGAGCCCTCAAGGCTGTC